TACCTTTTCAAAGTAGCAAAGTGAATGTCCATTATGATGGATGCACTACCTTTAAGATAAACTCTAGGTGGACTGACTGACCAGGGGCACTAGTTCCCAGACGATGCAGAGTGCTCTTGAGCTTAGAAAAGTGGACTTTGTGTTCCCATCTCTAGCATCATCTTGTTTGGTTACAGTAACTGTACTGCATAAGCAAGCAGCAGAACTTGAGGTGCTGCTTCTTTGTAGGAGCGTATTTGGTCAAATTCAACTGCACGTCTCAACAGTAGGTGTATTTGGCACTCAGAAAAACACCCGCATACTGAACCTTTCATCTTGCTGTACCATGGTGATTATGGTCCTGGTATCCTGTGGGTCACATTCTGGCATGATGATATATGTAGGACCGCACCTAAAATGTTATGGGCTGCTTATGAATCCAGATCCCACAGTCCTGGTTCCCTCATCAGACGAATCGGTTTATGTTTTCCATCTCACTCCATTTTCCTTTGGTCACTGACAATGTGATCAGGAAACTAAAGACTGAAAGGAGTCCTGGTAAATCACAGACATGGCACTTCAGATAACAAGGACTCTGGTTATCAGTAGGAAACCTGCAAGCTCTATTTTTCTTCTGGAATTACCTACAAAGAACTCCAGGGCCTTGTGCGAATACAGCCTTAGCCTGAAATGTGAGTGGCTGTTGATACACCCACTGCTTTGCCATCGACAGCAGAGAAATAGAGATGGTAGAACAGACTAGACTGTTGGCTTAGCATTTCTGTAATCTCTATGCTTCGAATCTTAGCTCCGTAAAGTTTTCCAAATAACTAAAGAATCTGAGCTCTGTTAGTTGGCTTAATGTCTTATGTTTTTCTGCTTTTCTGGACCAGTATTTTGGTGTCATTCTCTGGTTCCTTAAAAAGGTTAACTTTTTTCCACCAAGGACAGTGTTGCTATGGCACTTGAAACTCTCATAATGCCATTTGATTGAGGAGCTGTTGATCTACCCTGAATCTCTGTGACGAGGACCTCACTGAAATCTCTTTCCAATTCTAGAAATTGCTGAACAGCCAGCCAGCTGTGGCTCTGTTCAGACCCATGTTGAACTCTTGTTGCAACAGCTATGGAGGCTTTTGCATGGAAGCATAGGCAGTGTTGTGTGATTGTCCTATGAGTGATTTAGACACACCTCCTGTTAATTCTGATGGTGCAGAGGTTTGTTTGAAGTTGGTCAGAGAGAGAAGAGAATGCTGCTTACTCGTAACTGCAATTCTTTGAGATGAAATGTTGCTCAGTTCATTCAATTCCGGGGTGATTCTTGGGGATGCTGCTGGACTTCTTTAGCAGAGACTAACTATAGGGCAGGGAGCACGTTAAGCAGCATGAGAAACTGGCTATCATTGTGCCCTCTACATGAGGGCTAACAAAACAAAATCGTGCATTGGATAACAGGAAATACAAATGTTCAATGTGGATGCAAATGTGGACTGTTTGCTTCAGAAAAAGATGTAAGCAGATCCGGAGGCAGTGATGTGCTCTAGACAAGCACCAGTCAGCGCTACAGTAATCTTGTCCTGAACTCTTAGGTAATGTCATATTGCTCAGGCTGCTCACTTGCTGTGTTTTTAGACAGTCCATTTATCTTGAGAATTATAACTTCCCCTCAGACAGTGTCCTTTAATAGTGCTAGACTTGTATAATCTGGGTAAGAATCTCATCTCCAGGCTTCAAAAGTGTGTGTTGGGGGGAGATTGAATTTAAACCTTTGTTAAATCCATTTGTTGGATACAGAGTTTCTGTAAATTTGATTACGTTTGATGGTTAAAATAGTATTGCTCAGAGATAATTAAATTGGAAACTCTTCAGACAGTGATTTATTGAGTCACTTTTAAAATCTAATACTTTTTTCTCTCTCGTTCCTTGAAATGTCTAGATATTGGCTGCTCTGCAGAAAGATAACCGGGAAATGGAAAAAGGAAGTCCTTCACTCAAACGTTAAAACTATGATTGCCTCCAGTGACTCATGGGAAAAGAGCTAAAGTGGCAAAAGTATTGAGTACTGTTTGACATGTATGAGCCTGCAAATTAAAGTGTTATTTCAGAGTTTTGTTTAGTAGTAGGATAGCCTTAAAGGGGAGAGAGGACAAAAGAGAAGGAGAGGAGAGGAAAAAAAAAAAAAGGAAGGAAATCGGGGGATGAAACCCTTGAAGTGAAACCTAGGCTTAGCCTTAAACTTTTAGTGGAATGAGCATTTGCTGTGGACAGCGTTACACATTCTGTACTTCTGATGAGGGCAGTGAAACTAAACAATATTAAGTGTTTTTTTAAATTTTTTTTCTTTGATGTTTTAAAAGACTGGGCATTCAGCGATGTTGGTTGCTTTGAAAGCTATTCCCCAGTTTCATTCTTCGGCAGGATATATTTCCCATACCCGTAACAGTAGCGGGATCTGGATTTTAAATAACTGGTGCTGGAATTTATAGTTAAATGATGTAAGGACCATTTCTTTAGAAATGTTTCTTGTTTTATAGGCTGTGGGTCCCATTTACCAAAGAAATCACGTAGACATAGAACTACATTCCATTCTTTAACAAGAAAAAGTTAAGTAGAAAATAAACTTGGAAGAGAAGTCAGGCTAGCAGTGCAAAACCAGTTATTCTTCAAGATGCCTTGGAAATCTATGTTTCCAATCTGGATGCATATGGAAGAAGTTCCATTAATCAGACTAGATTCCAAACTCACCGAGGGGTTTCTAATATTAAGCTGGCTTCATTTTCCAATTGTACTCTTTCCTCTGTTTAACACAGGGTCACGTACTACTAAATGTATGTTTCCATATCTCCCTCTTCTGGGGCAGTGCTGTTTCGGGGTGTGGTTGCCTACCAGCTACGTATTCCTGTGCCACCTCTCCAGTCGTGCTGATGAAACTGTGGGCTGAGCAGATAAATGGAGAAATGGTTAAAAGCAATTTTATAGTTACTTTAAACCCAGCTCTGCTCACTGGCAAAACTGAGGAGGAAGGGTGTAGGGGAG